GGGACAAAAGACACTAGCTGCAACGCAGCGATTCATAGATTTAATTGTTCCCAACCGATCCGTGATTTGGCGTCAATCCTTTGGATAAAAAGATCACGATAGTTCCATTATTAATAATTAAAAACATCATTTAATTTGACAACAGTTCTGTGTGCGTTTCCCACTGTCTGAAGTTCAGTAAAAATAAGGACTCAATTGTATTGACCACATTCTCATGATGCAGTTACATCTCAACCAATGAACACCTGCAGATTCGTTTCAGAATCAGCATTGGTGCGCTCTCTCGCGGCTAACACCGAAACCCTAGTTATCACTTTCACTTTTCTCCACCAGGAGCGCTAAGTAGCACTCTGCTTTCGTTCCGGTTCTCCGATTCGCTCTGAACCATAGAGTACATTAGAGTCGCAATGTACTGGAGCGCCGATGAAGTCAATCCATTAACGGGCCTTTCCGAGCCGCTTGTGCTCCGAAAAGTGTGAACCCGACGGCACTTATCATCATTGTGGCTTATGGAGAAATCAAGAACTACTTGTGTTTTTTCGACATTTTTAATTCAATCATCATTAATTTTTGCAAATTTTGCTGCAAACGGGTAGTGAAAGTCATAGTGAATCCATTAATGTATCATACTCTTGAATAATATTCCAAAAAGGAAGTAAATTGAGACTCAAACCAAGTGTGAACCGACAAGCATTTCTTATCACGGCGGCTTACGGGAAAAGCAACGATTGCTTGTGTTTTTTCGACATTTTTTAAGTCAATCGATGTTAATTTGTGTAAATTTTGCTATAAATAGATGGTCAAAGCCATAATAAATCCATTCATGTATGTTACTCCTGGATTTTATTCATATAGGGATTTAATTTCTGACTTATACAAAGTGTGAACTAAACCGGCATTTCTAACATGGTGGCTTATGGAGAAATCAACAACACTGCTTGTGTTTTTTCGACGCTTCGGTTTTGCTAGCTCTTCGTACAGCCAGACCTTTAGGTACTTATTCACCCAAAAACGACCTGATATAAACTACAAAAACCCTCAAAAACATTTTTCGGGCAAAAAATCCGGTCGAGGAAATTGACGTGTGACTTCCTTTTAATCAAGTATAAGATAGGCAAAAACCTTTGATGAACTCCCAAGGTCCACTAAGACTAATAATCATCAAAAAGTTAAAAAAAAAAATAAATCCCTTGCCAAAAATAAATAAAAAACCGATTTTGAGATAAATCCCTCGAATGAACTTGAAATCACAAAATCGGTCGAGGATGTCAACTGAAATTTTTCCCCCTTCAATTATGAGCTCCGCAACAAGCGTGACTCGCTTGTACCTTTTCATACACGAGCCGCACGAATTCATCTCTTCTTCTCTCCTCTCCTTCCGTCCATGGACAGAGGTCCAAAATTTTTCGGATTTACTGACGCGACCGGCTGCGGCTCGGTGCGTAAACATGGGTGGATTATACTAAGATTACACATAAGTCAGAGAGAAACACGTACAACCTGTCAACTTAAGTGGGGCTCATTCCGTGAAGGGACTCAACTCCTCCACTATAACAATTCCACTAATAATTTTGCGATTCAGAAATCCCCTCACTTGTCCGGACCTAACGTGTCTGTCGAAATGTCATCCAATGGTACAGATGTATTTTATACTTAACTGATAGAGTATAAGAACAATTATTACTTACAACCTACCTACCGTCCAAAGCAAATGGTAAGCTCCCTTAAAAAAAAAATCCATGTTTCAGATGAATCATGTTTCGAAAAAGTCTAACATGTGGTTATGGAAAAAAGGGGTCGACTGGTGAAATTGCAACCGACTTGAAGCCGACATCAGGGATGATAAGAAGGCACCGATTCACTGAGAGCATCGAGCCGCAGCCGGTCGCGTCAGTAAATCCGAAAAATTTTGGACCTCTGTCCATGGACGGAAGGAGAGGAGAGAAGAAGAGATGAATTCGTGCGGCTCGTGTATGAAAAGGTACAAGCGAGTCACGCTTGTTGCGGAGCTCATAATTGAAGGGGGAAAAATTTCAGTTGACATCCTCGACCGATTTTGTGATTTCAAGTTCATTCGAGGGATTTATCTCAAAATCGGTTTTTTATTTATTTTTGGCAAGGGGTTTATTTTTTTTTTTAACTTTTTGATGATTATTAGTCTTAGTGGACCTTGGGAGTTCATCAAAGGTTTTTGCCTATCTTATACTTGATTAAAAGGAAGTCACACGTCAATTTCCTCGACCGGATTTTTTGCCCGAAAAATGTTTTTGAGGGTTTTTGTAGTTTTCACCAATTGCAAAGATTATAGTCTGGAATGGACCAGGGAATTACTAGAGTCCCTTTATACCCAGAGTTACGACAACTCACTTTTGGTTGGGCCAGGGTTGGGCTGAAAGTGGCCTAAAAAAAAATCCAATTCTGATTGGTTCTCGCTCATGGAGGCCGAAACGAGTGCACCAAGATGGCGGTAGAGTCCCTTTATGCTGAGAGTCAAGACAATTCGGCTCATGGATGTCACAAACGGGAATAAAGATTACAGAAATTGAACATTTTTCGTAATCTTTGATCGGCCCATTCTCAAATGCCTTTCTCCGTTCCTCCTCTCATTCCGTTTGTTCCTTGCCGAACCCGTAATTCCCTGGTCCATTCCAGATTATAATCTTTGCAATTGGTGAAAATGTAATCTTTATTCCCGTTTGTGACACTGTGGAGGCCTAAAATACGGGAACCAATCAGAAATGGATTCAAATTAGCTATGTTTATGCGAGCCTCTTAACCTAACTTCAATCGAAACCTGAGGAGTGAACAGATCGGCCCAGATATTCCGGACCACATTTCACCAAAAACTGCTGTTTGTCAAACCGCCGTCAACACCTACCAAGCGGCGAGTAGGCCTTCGGCCATGCTCGGCAATCTTCGTAGCCAATCAGGTTGCCGCTCGCCGCCCGTAATCTCGAAGAAGGTTCGGCTCCTACATCACCCTACACTTTTCGAATTTTGGATTTTGCCATTCGGCCTGATTCTCTTTTCTCTTTTCCGTAATTAATAACAATAAAAAATTCATTTAATCATTACTTAGCGGCACCTTGTCCAATTTGTGCCTAGCGCCTCTACAACTTTGCAAATTTGGACGTTACCTTTTGAACATTTCATCCCTTCCCTTTGAAATTACTTTGAATAAGTACACTTCACATATCACACGGGACTTTTATCCGCATATTTACTTGGCTTTATTCGCAAAGGATCTTTTAAGAAGTAAATTCTTTCGATAACTTATTGGGGATGGTCAAGTCACCAATTAGAGCCCGTCATTCCATACCATTATTATTACAGGACTAGGTTTCTTACCTATAATTTGATGGGCACCGTGAGAATAATAGATAACCACAGTATTTGATCCGTGCGCCGTGCCTTAAAAAATGAACTGCTGGTGGCAGAACCATCTTGGTGATGTTCATTAGGAATTTTAGACTTTATTCTATTCTTTCAGCAGATGAACCTTACATGGTAACTTGTAAAGTCTTGCCTCATTTTCCTTGAGTTCTACTTAGTTTGATGCCAAAAAACAAGAAAATTCATGGAGAAACGTGTCTTAAAGGTGATAGTTCCCCCTCATACTTAATATCAGAGTTCCAACGGAAAAAATCTTGTTGTCATAGGTAAATACGGTTTCCATTGCTTCTTCAGCTGTTAATAGACAACTATGCGGGTTTGCTGGAGAATTTGGTGACTGCTAGGATTGTTAATTAGTATCTCCGAAGCCTGGTTGTTATAGCTAAACTTAAAGCACTGGCTTCAACGCATCGCAAAACCAGAACCTTGGAGAGACCAGCGAACATCCATGAGAAAGTGAGTGAGGAGCAAGGTCCCTAGCATTGTACATCCGTCTGGTTTTCACAACTACCGTTCCTAGGGATTTAGGATTCAGATTCACACATCAACCAGTAAGCTTTTCTCCCAATCATCTTGATATAGAGGCAGCTATGCAAGGCGCAGCCAGGTAGTCCAATGCTCAAGCCACTTAATCAACACAAATATTATCCTAACTTACAACAAAATGACTTGTTTCTTCTCTAACAATGGAACCGGAAAATGTTACTTTGAATGCGCGAGAAGCTTCTTTGGTCGAGATGAAGAAACGTAAATGAAGAAATGAGTCCGGAACATCTCGACCAGGTACAGGCCGCTTTGTTTACATTAGGAGTCTGGAGTATCTCGCCGCAATTTCACTTGAAATCACCATGAACAGATCAACGGGGTAACTGATATTTGATTTTACGAAAGGGATAAATGTTAGACGCGGACGAAGTTCTTTTGTCGAGGTGAAGAAACGCTGACGCTGAGAAATTGAGTCTGGAACATCTCGAGGAAGTCCGCTTTGGGTCCGCTTTGTTTATGTCCGGACTATGTCGCCGTTCGTTTGTTTACATTAGGAGCGAGTTTGACACCGATGACAGACTTTGGTTTTTGATGAAAATTTGGTCTGGAATATCTGGCAGTGGTCGAAGAGGTTGCGCAGTGGATGGGTAGCCTGCGCATCAGCTCTACACTTATCTATACAAGATTCGCACGGGCATTCTCATGCCCAAGTAGCATTTTGCAACGAAATAATTGCAATTTTCTTGCAAGAAAGTTGAAATCATCTGGAAATTTTATTGCATTTAAATTGCAATTTTTTCGTTGCAAAATGCTACTTGGGCATGAGAATGCCCGTGCGAATCTTGTATAGATAAGTGTAGAGCTGATGCGCAGGCTACCCATCCACTGCGCAACCTCTTCGACCACTGCGCATCCTCCCGCGCATAGCGGTAGCAGTCCCGGAGCATTCTGTAAATTCACTCACTTTTATAACGTGATTTTAAAAAAACCTGGGTCCTATTTCCAAAATCTAATTAGAGCGGGCTCATCTAGGGCCAATTACCTGTCGATCTACGCAAAAATCATGGAAATCGGCCCGGTAGAACGCTCAAACGAACTATGACAAAAAGTATAAATTTACATTGTTTAAATGGGAGAATTCGCAACTTTACCACGTAATATAAAAAAACCTGGGCCATATTTTGAAAATCTGAAAAGAGTTGGCTTATCTAGAGACAATTGCCCGTCGATAGCCGCAAAAATCATGAAAATCGGCCCAGTAGAACGCTGGAACTAAGCGTCACCAGTTTCGCAAAATTAGGAGGTCTTGGAGCTTATAGTATAGATTCCATGCAATGTTCTTTGTTTATCTATGATTTATTTATTTGTGTAGATACTTTAATACATTTTACTTTCGCAAACTAATGAAATTGTATAGATACATACCTTCGGCAGAGGTCAATGCGAAAGACTTTGATATTAAGTATCTTATCAAAACACGAGCAAAGATGATTCAGTCAACTTCTGACGCAGAATCAAAGAGACTTGCTAATAATCAAATTAAAGGTAATGCTTGAAGTCAAGTATCTTTGATTTTGTGACACTCAGTTGATTTTTATCAGTACAACACTATTTCTCACTAAAAAGATTTCACTTAACAGAGCGGCGCCTTCGGCTAAAAGTACAATCCTGATTCCTGCTGCACACTACATACACACTTCCTTTGGCTTTCTCAACAGCAGTTGCTGCTGAGTAAAACGGTTAGAAATAACACTTCACATTAATACCAGTTTATGTACACGAAGACTGACGAAGATTGAAATGAAAATGGGAAACTTTTCACACTAAACTCTTCAAAACTGCAGGGCGACCAAGAGGATACGAGGATCTAGAAACTTCTATGAGCACTACTGAAGTACTGAGTGATAAGCCTAAATAGGTGGTGCATGGAAATATAAACAGGAAGACCCAATCATCGGTTTAGTTCACTACACCCTCTGCCAGGGAGCGCTGATGTCAGCGCTAACCGGAGTTGGGGGTCCTTATTTATTCTCTTGGTCCATGCCATTATATCGAATTGGATCCAAACAATAACATTGGCATAACCTCTTTCAATGCTACCAGTGCGAAAAAATCGATATATATCGCTTTTCTGTGACGTTGCACTAATAGCGTCTATGCCATGTGTCAATATGTATGACATTTACATTGGACATACAGCGTGTTGTTGCTGGGTATGTCAACTTACCATTGTCTTACTTTTTCCGACTTATTTAATTTCGGCGGCCGGATAAACAACAGGTAAGCATTTTGATCACTTATGGAAACTAAAGTACTCTCGAGCGAGGAATAATGCAGCTGCAAGCTGTTATACAGTGCGGAGAAGGTCAATCCAGCTGCTGTAAAGTCGGCTTTTCCAATATTCGGCAGAATGCTATTCAAACGGTTTGGGTTCGGTTTTGGGACCCCTTTTGTTTTCAACAATTGAGGACTTGATTGTAACAATAGCGAATGTTGAGTTTTCACATTGTGAGAAAATCGCGTTTGAAGTTTTCGAAGCTTTGCACTTTTCCGCCTGTAGAACTGAGAGCATTCTTAGGAAGAATTTCCTGAAGAGCAACTTTTCTTGTAAAAAACACACATTTTACGATCTATGAAAGTGAAAACTTGAAGGAGTAATAGTGTTTTGAAAAAATGTAACATCTGCTATTGTTTCCGAAAACATTTTCTTATGCATGACGCAAAGACTTAAAGAAGGGTAAGGCCGGTGAAACGATTGAAATGAACGGCAAGTAAGTCAATGCCGAGTCATTGAATAAAATTGATCAAAAAACTAAACTGTTTGTAACTTCTACATAAAAAATAAGGAAAAAGTGGCAAAATCAGTTAAAAAATCAACAATTCCGGTGAGACAGTCCGGATTTATATTATTTGAGTGTCAGCTGCAGTCCATGGGCGGTGCGTGGGCAGTTATCGCAAGTGTGTTCGAATATTCACAGTGTCCTGCCACGCCAGCCGGGGCCGAGGAGAACAGCGGATTCTCATATCCGCTGTCTTTACTAATAACATGGTTATCAGTTCATATCTTACCGAAAAATTGCGCTGGAAGTCTGAAACTGTGCACAGGCATTCTTGAGGGCTCCAAAATTCCTAAAAAAGCGTTTTATCTAAAAATGGTGGATGTCAGCGACCGTTATTGTCACAAACAAGTCCTTGTATGCCAATGATTCATGCCTCATAGAGAGCAAAGGTTCGCGGGTGGTGATGTTTGCTGACGACACAGATCTTGTATTTTGGGGTTTGTCCTGGGAAGCTGTGATCAATCTGGATAATTTGGTGTTGAAAGATGTAATAAATCCGTGGTTTGCAAATAATATGTTTAATTTACATGTGGGTAAGACAGTGTGTGTCTTTGTTCTCAGAGGAGTCATATCAGACATAGACTTCTTGGGGCTCGTTCTGCATGAGCATGAGTGTGCTAGACAGGGCTGTAGGTGTGAGCCTCTGGTGATCTCAAGAGCTGCAAAATACCTGGAAGTTTTCGCTGATTGTTTTCTCTTTTGAAGGTGACACATCGATATTCTGATGGCTCGTTTTCGCAAGGTTACAGCAACCATCCTTAGTCTGCGGGGAATATTGGGGGTGGACTCCTTATGGGTGATTTCACGATAACAGGAATAGTTAAAATGTGAAATACCTGAGAAATAAAAGTGCACCAATTTTAACAGGATTTCATTACCTCATTCTAAAGGTAGTAAACTTCCTTTTTCCAGCTTTGGCACGCTCTATTTTGATTCAGTGCAAAGTTAAAGTGATTGATAAACAAGCCATTGAATCAGGTATCAGCGCTTCCCGCGGGACTGCTGAAGGTCCACGCAAACATGGCGGCCCTGCCAAATTGTGTCGGTTACGTAACAGACACAGCGTAACCGACACTCAAAAATGTGAGATCAAAGATGATACAAAAGATGAAACTTGGCAATTCTTGAGTTATGAGGTGGAATTAATGCTGCCTTAAAAGTTTTCTAAACTTTGGAGACTTCGTTTTAGTTTAATACTATTAAATTGAGGTTTTTGCGTAGTGAGGAATTAGTGCTACACACGTAAAAATCACTGGTTTTCATAATAATTTAAGTTTTCATTGTAAAAAAAACTGACTTATCAGTAATGGTTTTGTCAAGAAGACTTCAGCGAACAATTTGATGGCAGTTTTGAAACTCCTGACTCCATCTAGCGAGATAAACACTGCACTTAATACAACTGCAAAAATTTGTTGCCAAATGTGGCGACACCTCTTTCTTATGACTTTTCTCGCTCAATTATAAACATTTCAGTTCAAACTGGCAATTTTCTTGAACACTAGAGTCTCTTTTCAGCAAATATTGCCAAAGAGTTCATGATCAGTACTGATATGTTACCGCAAATTGCTCTTTTGCTTCAAAATCGGGGTTGGCGACGCGTAACCGACCGGACATTTTCGGCCTTTAAAGTCTCATATTATTAAATATAATAATAATTCATCATATTTTTTAGCATGGATAGGTTCAGGGACATCATTCCTATTGATTAATTAATTTGGTTTTCAATCGTTTTGCCCTATGTCGTTAATAACCCACGGCGACACGACTATTCCTATTATCGTGAAATCACCCTTATGAGTTATTTACATAGCCCATTTCCAGGCTTCCATGAGCTATGGAATTGGGATCAATGAAAGTGCGTGTAAGGAGGCTCTTGATAGGGTGATAAGGCTTCAGTGGGGTATTACAGAGGGGATTTTGTAGCTACCCAAGACCTATCCTTCCGATGAACTTTGTTCTCCGCTTAATGTATCCTCCTTTGAATATTTGTATCGGTTGGATACTCTGAAATTGTTAATGGTTTTTTTTCCAAAGGCGAGCTTTGTTGGGCAGTTGTATAGGCTCAGCGGTGGTAGGTGGAGGGTAGTTGCTGTCCCTTACTTTCGGCTGGAATTGGGAAGAGGATCTGTAGAGTACAGGTGCCTGGATCTGTTTAATCAGCTCCCAGATTTTTTTAAGCTTGTCCTCATGGTGGGAGGGGAAGATCGCTCCTGCCTTTTACCGAGGGTAAAGAATTTTTTTCAAGTTATTCTATGAGGGTCTTCAGTTTGTCCTTTGTTATGTTTTGTTGTTCCGTTGCTTTGTCTCTGTGTTTAGCATTAGTTGTTTTATACGGCTTTGGGGAATTTTATTCGTTTTTAATCTGTGTTAGATCAGCCTGTTGCCAAAATCATTGTTTTTCTTTTTAATTCCATTTGTTGTATTCTTTTTTCTTCTATAGTTTGCCGGGCAGTCAGGGTCTCCCTTTCCCGGGTTAGACTCTTTTAGTCTTTTCGTTTTTATTATTTTTTTATACTGTAAAAGTAAATTAACTTAATAATAAAAACCTACATTTCATGCACAGATATCCACTGACATGGAATTGGAGAATGGAATTTTAAAATTGTTCTGTTATTGAACAGTGACGGGAAACCATAAGGGTGTTGCTTGCAGGTATGACTCGCACAGCTCAGATGGAAGGTACAAAGTATGTGCGCAGAACGTTAGTGTTTGAGTAGTAGGTCATGCAATCGATGGTTTTCAATGATAGCAACTTTAAGGTGATTGTTCATGGTCTGTTACGCAGTGGAACCGGCACGCGAGATGTAGCATCGATTATGTAAAAAATTTCGGCAGATTTTGAATTTTTAGCCCATGACAGAATGATAGCCTCCTCGCATGAGTCTAAAAAATCATTTTTAACCAAAAAATTAGCAAATTTCAGAGAAAAGAAAGGATCTTTTTAGGAAAAGATACCATGTATGGACACAGCACTTAATCGATAATAGAGATGTTGCATGTGTGAGGAATTTGCGATTTGACTGCTGCTTCTTTTGAGAAAGTTCGCGAGAAACACGATGGTGCCACTGGTTTTCCTTGAAATCAACTCCCAAGCTCAAAAAAAGCTCTCGAGCTGAGGCCAAAATGGAGGGGATATCCCACGCTCTACGGGGAGAGTCCACCTCTACATCAAGACAAGCTCTCCATGCTAAGATAGGGAGCAAATACATTAGCAGGGTTGCCGTGATTTCAGTTTAAGAGTTCCCAAATAAGGTGGCAGCTCTGTCAATGTATTTGCTTCCTATCTTTGCACGGAGAGTTTGTCTTGATGTAGAGATGGACTCTCAGGCAGGCCCGCCACATCCCATCTTGGGCCCTGGTACCAGTTTTAAGGTCCGGGGCCCAAGCACGGGGGGGGGGGGGGNGTCCGAGGGGCATCCCTCGAAAAATTTTAGAATTTATACGACTAATCGGACGCATTGTGAAGCTTCCATAATGAATTTTTCCATAAATTTCTGCGGAATAATTATGGTTTTTTTTCTACTTTCAGCACAAAATACTTGCAAATTGTTGGATTCAAAACATCTGGAAATTTTTTTTTTTTTGGGGGGGGGGGCATATGATACTATTTTCAGTTCTATAAGGGCCAGGCCCCCCTTGACTCCCTCTTCGTTTGTCTATGGCAAGGGAGTTGAGCCATGAGCCATTGAAGTCGAAGATGCCCAGACTGAAGACCCTTAGCATCTGACGACGGAAGAAAATGAAACGCAGTTACTAAAAATATCCCTCTGTACTGAAAATCTTGAAAATAGATAGAAATTTTCCAAGAAGCATACTTCTTTGAAAATTTAAGAAGAATTCTACAGTGCCCCAGCGTGTTTCTGAAAATCTATTCACCTTTTGCGAAATTTTTAGGGTAAATTTTTCACTTTTTCTTACGAAACAAGGGTTGCATGTGAATTCGTAGTGGTTTTTCACGGGTTACCCGTACCGCCGCCCGGGCCCCGGTACCAGGGACCCAGTATCCCCCCCCCTTGTGGCGGGCCTGCTCTCAGGATAGCGTAGGGTATCCCCTCCATTTTGGCCTCAACTTGAGAGCTTTTTTTGAACCTTGGGAGTTGATTTCATGGAAAACCAGTGGCACCATCGTGTTTCTGCTGACGTGTTTCTGCTATTCTGCTGACAGGATAGAAAAATCAAGGAAGTTTTCAAGAAAATACATGTGTATTTTTCATAGGAACATAAGTCCATGTACACTTTCGTTCCTATGAGAAAATGAAGTATGAAAAGAAGTCTGCAACGTCGCTCATGGAGGTATGTGGTTTTGGACTTCAGCCATTGATATGTCCGAAGAGGAACAAAAAAAACCGGAATTTTGCTGTAACTTGACAACGGTGGAAAAATTTTGGGTTCTTTCGTTAAAGGGTGTAACTAGAAGCTGTGAACAGTCACTAGGCCAAATTTTAACGTCGTAGCCCATTTTCTTCTACTTTGGCTAGACTTGGCTTAAGGGGTTGTCTGCCGAGTTCGTTGTTTTTGAAGATGGGTGATATTCACGGGCAATGCGCAACTAAGTCTGTCAATTTTTGAAGTGAATCTTGCAGGGAACATGTTTCACTCATGACATTAGCGAATAAATGTTTTTCTTTGTTCTAGAGTGTGATTTATTGTTCGAACGTCGGCTGGACGCCCACTGGCAGTCACCGGATAGAACCTAAATGGGGGATCAATTCGGTAACAACGCGTTGACGGCCCAAATTTTTCACAGCAATGTGTTGAATATTTCTACATTACATTCAAGTGGCATCTGCTAGTAAATTAAATGATCTATAACCAACCTCATTCACAAAAATGCAATTTTTTGTATTATTTGCATAGATTCTATTTAATGGCAACGGCTGTTTGGAGCCATACAGGGGTGTCGGGCGATACAGCACCATTATTAAAGCAAGAAACCGTACTTACACTGAAGTTTTTAATGAGAATTTGTCCCCCAGAAGCAGTTCTTCAAAATCGTAACAGAAAAAGTCGTGTGTTTATCGAGTAAGAGAGAAAATCTTGAGCGCCGAGTGTTGTTACTGAAATTGACTCATCTTCAAGAACGACGACCTCGCTAGACAACCCTTTAAACCAAGTCTCGCCGAAATAAAATAAAATATGCCACGACGTTGAAATTTGGCCTATTGACTCTTCATAGCTCCTAGTTACACCTACTAGCGGTGGAACCCGAATATTTTCCATCATTGCCAAGTTACAGTAAAATACCGGGGTTTTTTGGGTTCCTCCTCGTACATATAACGAATTTGTGCACAGATGCTCCCTTGGATTTCAAATATTTTTTTATTTCTTTATCCTCTTGATTTCAGCAAAAACGATGGCTTCTGCTGCATCAGCTAACCATGTGCGGCAAAGATTTATGGATTTCTTCATTTTGAAGAAAAATCACGAGTATGTACATTCATCATCAGTAATCCCACTGGACGACCCAACATTATTATTTGCGAATGCTGGCATGAATCAGGTTTGTTTATACTTATCGTTAGTTTAGGTCAATGCTTTTTATGATCGGGTATTTGGACGGGTGCAGTCCCACAGAATACTGCACCCTTCCTCAGGGGTGCAGAAAATTCCTCACCATTTAATCAGCTGGCCGGTGCAGAAATGAGAAGTTCCAGAAAACAGATTTTAAAAATAAGACAGTCACGAAAAAAGGGGGTTTGGAAAACAGAAATACATGTTTGTGCGAGCCTGCACGGATTGAAATCTTCCTCTGTACCATAAAATTATAGAACGGCGACCGTCACTTTGAAGTTCCCGGCTCCCGGTGTCCAGCGCGCCTGAAAATCAGTGAGAGGAACCCCGGAGACCGGGTCTTCGGCCGCCCCGCGGGGTTTTCCGATCTGTACCTCCGGGGAGTTGCTGCTGCCCCTCAGGGTTGTTTCGGGAAAACCGTCGCCATTTGCCCCCTTCGTCCTTTCGGAGTTCCTTTTGAACGGCCGGCGTGTAAGTGCTCTCGGATTTACGGACACGAAATTCTTCGGAGGGGCGCTACTACGCCCCCAAGGCCGTTACTCCGCCTTCTCTCTTGTACCACACATTCCGTACCTTCCCTTTCGTCCTCCGGGCCAGGGCTTTGAAGCGCCTCTTGAGGTTATAACGTACAGCATCGGCTCGCAGCATCAGCATCGATGCTGTATGCTCAGGTAGTGGCCTTGCGGGCGTATGGCTCCGAGCCTGATGCGCGCAACTTGCCGCCGCACGGTGGATCGAGTCAATGGTACAGGTCTGTCATGGGCGATTCGGGCAAATCGCATTTTTCAAGGGACAACAGTGTTCCTTAAGAGTTATGTTTTTAGGATCTGACAATGATTTGGAATGAAACATGTTCATTTTTGTGACAGAAGGCACCGAAGAGGGGCTCTGCGTAACTTTTCATTTTAGCGAAAAATCGTCCAAGTCTTTCTTTTCCATTTAACTTGCTTCTGTTTAAATTAATGCTAGTTTCATTGATTGATTCTAATTCCCCAGAGTCTGGAGGGCACATTGCACTAGTAATTTTTTGTATTCGGCCCATTTTTTCAATGATTATGTTTGCACCAATGTGCTTATATCAAAAAGCAAAAAAAAAGTCTAGGTAAACTTTTAACTACCTACCCATCCGCCAGAAAACTTTCATCGCTAGGCATGTTCGCAGGCGTCCTGAGAATACGATTCCGCAATATTTGGGGGCCACTTTGCGCCACTTTGGCCGTGACGTCACTTTTTCTGTTGCGTTCCGAGATTGTGCGCGAGCCGTATCTCGAAAATCAAGCGACCGGTGAGCTGCCGCTTGCTTCAGTTTAAATTAAAACTAGTTTCATTGATTGATTCTTGTTCTTCAGAGTCTGGAGAACACATTACGCTAATAATTTTTAAACGCTCCTCTCAAATGCGTACTTACTTTTTCAATTTTTCACCTATTTCGATGTAATCAAAGTGCAGTCAGTGCGAAACTAATTACACTGCGAGTACGTTTTAACGTCAAATTTTGGACGTTCAAGTCCGGCAAATTTTGGAATTTTTGCGGTTTTTTGCGTTGCTTGTTTTTTAAGTTTGATGCGGTTTGAGAGCGGAAGGTGAGGATGAGAGTGATGGGGAACTGAACATGAAGAAGAAGAAGAATAAGGAGAAGCAGATGACTGTCATGTTACATGTTTTTTCTTTTTTCTTTTTTCCTTTTCGAGCCATCTAGTGTTTTTCCTACTCTAAGTCCCTGCTCCGTCCTCTAAATGTAAATATGAATGAAAATGAAAATATGAATGAAAATGAAATATGTAAGTGATCTTGAATATTTTCAAAGAATTCATAATTGTATTTCATTTGTTTTTTCACCAATCCTTATGCATAAAAATGATATCTTATGACAAAGTTTCGAAATTAACTTTGATGTGAAGGGAATGATATATCTGATGCAGCAGCTCATATCTGGGTAGGTGTTTTTGTGTATTTATAACACTTATTTGTAAGTTTTCATAATTTTATTCATAATTTATTCTCTTCCATCATGAAAAATTAAAAACTCCGTCCAACGAAGTAAAACACAGACGCCTAAATTTTGCACCTGTACAGTTTTTTAGACAAAATGCACAAAAAAGGGTCTTCAGGTACGTTGTTCACCTAAAATAACATCAAAAATGAATTCTATGCGAAAAATTACGTGAGACAAATGGTACATATTTGATCAAATGACCAGGAATATTCCTTCCCTCGTAAAATTAGAAGCGCAATGCTCCATGACCGACCTCTCCCATTGACTCGATCCACCGTGGGCGCGGCGGCGCCGGCCACAGGTGTCGATGCCGCCGCGCCGGCCGCTTGCCGCCCGGGTCGCATATTCCCAAACCCCGCGTTGAATGTGAAATCCAGTTTAGACCCCAACCGCAGCCCCTTGTGCGGGTCTGAGACTCCTCCGCACCGGCCGCGCCGCGCCGCACTATGGTCCGAATAGCCGGTTTAAGCGGCAATAAATCGAAAAAGTGAAGTTTGGAAAAAGTTAGATTTTAAGCGGTAGATCGATAGTACATACTGTAGAGAAGACTCCTGTAAAATTTCACTTCGATTAAAGCACTAATAAAGATGTGACAAGCCTGGGAAGTGCGGCGCGCGGAGCACTTTATGAGTGCGATTCCAGTTACCGAGCGGCAGTGCTGTGTTTAAGGGCTTGTTTTCGTCGTTTCACCGTACCTGAAAGTGTTT